GTAGAGGTGGCGCAACTATAACGACATGTGAATAATCCCGCCCACCCTAAAGCGATACTAAACTGCAGTGGAAACGCAAACCGAACCGTACTCTGCCATGCCGAGCAGAGTCGTACCACGCAATGGAAAAGCGCCCTTAGTGAACCAAATAAAAAAACCGGTTAAAGCTTTATGCTAAAATTAATTTTTTTTGCAATGTTCAACTGGGGGTCTTCTGTCCCCCAAAAAAGTTTGAAGACTGCCGAGGTAAGACAGTTGTGGGAAAACACACATAAACCCAAACTGAAACTTCTCCGTACTACATTTCCACATAGAATGACAAATCATACTGCTACAGCTTTGCTTTTTACGAGAACATGTTTTTAATTTCAAGTAATATAGATTTCTAGTAATATGTGGAAACAATACGGCACCCCGAAACAGATTCGTATTATTGTAAGAGAGATCAATCGAAACACACATACACAAAGTCTGATAACAGCTAGCTGTCTGCTGTGTAACTGGGGAACTCCCATGACTCAACCATGGAAAGGGCTTACCCCACAAAGCCAGACTCTGCCCTCTTCTCTAGCACACTCTTTACGGTCAGGTGATCGGGGACGCCCACCTCAGTCACAGCATAGGGAATTTCTGAAAGTCTACCGTCATCGATATCGGTTACAGTGTGTTGTTTTGGATGCAAAACATATGAACTGTAAATTTACAGTGTGGGTTTTTTAATATTCCACCAAACTGGGGAATCCAAAACTCACTGATGTCGATCAGACAGGAGAAAACAGGTGGCTTGCGGTGCAATTGATTATAAGAGGGAATGAGGTTGTGTGGTTATTGGTTTATTGAAAGGCGTCATCTCGATTCGCTTTCATGCTCTAGCTAACTGTTTTCTAGAAATGTCATGTGTATTTACTCATACTTCAAAAACTCTTTAGAAGTCATTTTAATTTCAAATCACAAATGTTACAACGATGATATCATAATTAAAAAAATTCCCCATTCACCCCCACTTCGCCCCTCAGCTTGATAAAATTCCCCATGACAACAAACATCAAACAACTATTCCAGTCACTGGCTTGGTCTTCACACTTACCAGATCAATGCCTAAAACACCAAACCAAATGAGGGCCACATATGTGGGAGTCTCCAACCAACCCTGTCCAATCAAGCTATAAAAAAAAAACCTTCAGGAAATCACCGTGAGAACTAACCAACCATACAGCTGGACCAAAAGATATGACGTCTGAAGTGATGAGTACCCTTTAAAAATAATTCAGGTTATGATTCACTTTTGAATAGATGAGGACTGACATCAATAACATGGCAATGTGAAAACAATTCCATTTTAAAATAGTGCTACGGGTCGTGTGAATGATGTAATCTCCCAGCATGACGACAGCGTTCTCATTCCTGCCAGAAAGTACCATGAAGCAACTCGGAGAGCTAAAACAGCTGAGCGTTCGAGTATGCGGAAAAGTACGGCATGGAATGGAGTCAAGGAATTAGGCCAGGAGAGGGAGAACAGATTGTGATAAAGAAAGGGAGAACAGGGGAAATGGGAGAGCTGGAATGTTCCTCAGTGAGCAAAGGGGGCCGGCGGAAGGGCCTGTGGGTGAGCGCTCATATTTGGCCATTATATAACCCACCTCAGATAGAGATCACACACAGAGGCACAGAGGCAAAGGAAGCACAACGTCACAGTAGGCTTGCGTCTGTTCCCTTCCCTCTCTGTGTGTGTCTGCCTCTGCCAATGATGCAAGGCTGAGTAGTCACGATGGCGTCGTTGCCTTCCAAGCCCACACTCGTAGCCTCCACACAAACATGCGTACATACAAGTGTGTACATCCTGATCCCGAGAGAGAGTTCAGCTGAGGACACACGCAGCGCTCGCTTCTGTGTGACTCTCTGGCCGAGTCCTCGCCTACATGTAACTTTGCGACAAGCCTTCCTCGACCTTGCACCACCCTTCCAAAAATAACATTACAATAAAAACTTTCACGACTGGCCCCATTACGCTTTCGGAATGTCACAACTGGCTTCTGTGCACAGACCATGATTACTTTCCCTGCTCTCTTTTTCATGTCATCGCTCTCGACCTAGTTCAGCGCTCCTGATTTATGGTTGCTAGACAGATGATAAATCCATCTGGATGTAGTGTTTGAAGAGAAGCGGCGCGAACATCACAGGCATCGATATGATATTGACACTCCAGCACTAAAATGTTGTCCATCTGATATCAGCTGTTAATGAATAAATATGTAGGCTAATATATAAACCAGGGCACGTTGGTGGTGTATAAATGTGTATAAGATTGTCTTATTAGAGGGGGAACGATTCAGGTGACCCTAATCTAAATATTCACTGTCATTCCTGACATGACACCAAAATCAGCAATTTCACTAATAATATGAATCTTGGATTCAGGTCTCAGCTCTCAGTTGTTTCTCTTTGAGTCGACACAGAGAAACATGATGCTTTTCTTAGTAACTCTAGTGGTTATGTCCTATTAAGAGTAAACAACCATGCTGTCACTGTGGTAAGCACTGCTGAGAAAACACCCTTAGTCATTACCTTGAATGAGGTGTATGACTGACACTGATATTACTCATAAAAGGAGAAGTCAACATGAAACAGGTTACAAACCATTTTACTTCTGTAACTTGCCATGTTCCTAAATGAAAAAGGATATTCATTGAAAAACTGTAGTATGAGACTTTTGGAAACTGATTAGATTCTGAAAAGTGATTTGGTGACTTCATCTAAAAAAGAAAAACAGAGGTGGATTGTGTAGTTACTTTGATGAAAGATGATGTAGGCTTTGAAATAACATGCACAAATCGTGCACAATAAGACCAGAGATGTGCATTTGGAAAGTCAATAGGGTCCATTTTGATCTTATGTTGACTTCAAAAACATAATGAAACAAAAGTGACAACCGACCTTTTCTTCAGTTTTGTGACGTACATCACTGATTACTCGAGGAAAAAAGTAGGGTGGGGACTCGGTTGTGTCCATCAGTTGTTGATTAGATGGAGGCAGATCTCGCAGTCAGTGAAAGTGAACAAAATTTTTGGCATATGTCACCAGAGAGACGCGTGTCAGAAGATTATGATTTTAATTTAAAATAAATTAAAAACTTATGAATGTATGAACTGTTCACTATAAGATCAATAACTTATATATTCCCCAACACATACATATATACACATATAGTGGTGTGAAAAAGTGTTGTCCCCCTTCCTGATTTCTTATGTTTTTGCATGTTTGTCACACTTTAATGTTTCAGATCTAACAAATTTAAATATTACACAAAGATAATGCAAGTAAATACAAAATGCAGTTTTTAAATGATGATTTCATTTATTAAGGGAAAAAAGCTGTCCAAACCTACGTGGCCCTACGTGAAAAATTAATTGCCCCCTCCTGTTAATTCATGAAAGAACTGCAATTAACCACATTATTTTAGAAAGCTGAGTTAAATTTCACTAGCCACACCCAGGCCTGATTACTGCCAGATCTGTTGAATCAAGAACTCACTTAAATAGAACCTGTCTGACAAAGTGAAGCATGCTTAAATAGCAACACATCATGCCGCGATCTAAAGAAATTCAGGAACAGATGAGAATCGAAACATGTATTTGTGTTGACATGTATCAGTCTGGAAAGGATTATAAAGCCATTTCTAAGGCTTTGGGACTCCAGCGAACCACGGTCAGAGCCATTATCCACAAATTGAGAAAAATTGGAACAATGGTGAACCTTCCCAGGAGTTGCCAGCCAACCAAAATTACTCCAAGAGCACAACAGCGACTCATCCAGGAGGTCATAAAAGAACCCAGAACAACATCTAAAGAACTCCAGGCCTCACTTGCCTCAATTAAGGTCAGTGTTCATGATTCAACAATAAGAAAGAGACTGGGCAAAAACGGCATCCATGGGAGAGT